GCCCAGCGCCACGCGCCTGGGGCCGGCGCTCCCCCCAGCCATGCGCCCAGTGCCAGGCCAGCCCCAAGCACCTGGCGGGCGCATGGAAATGCCCCCGCGGGCGCCATGGCGCCCGCGGGCACCGTGTTGGGGACCACGGGTGTAGATGATCTCTTGTGGAAGAGTTTTTGCACAAGAACTCTTCTGCAAAAGAGTTCTTGCAGAAGAAGCTGCCAGTGCAGACGTAGCCAGGTGTAAATGCAGAACTACTCAGTTGTGCTGGCAAAGAAAAGTCCTCCTCCCCTTCCGCCCAAAGATATAACACAGAGGTTTTGATAGAGTACAGTACTTCCAGATAGAGTCTGTGGGGTAAATAAAGCTTACCAGTTTAGTACAGTATGTAGTATTTTGGTTAGGGAGAACATGAAGTTTAAAATTAGAATATATTCAATTTTACATGTGTTCTTAAGCAAAATTTCCAACTATTATTTAAGCCAAAACTGTTGCACCTAGTATAGAATAAATTTTGTTCATTTGACAAAGGGTCTAAATCTGAGCTACTAAGATCAAAACATAAGAGTTGGGATCTTGCTTCTTGTCCTATGTGTTCACTTCTCACAGGTTTCAAGCAGCAGGTGATAGCTCCTTTCAGGACTAGACTCTAAAATAGGTGTAAAGCTAGCAGAGTGGGCAAGCAATCAGAGCAACAAGATTGTCAGGTTAACTGCATTGCACAGCAAGGAAAAAATGCTGACTGATATAGCTAACAGCAAACTTCAGCAGGCATGTAGCTAAACTCCAAAGGAGTCCAGGCAGAGAGAGAGAAAAAAGCAAACTTTGGAGCTGTTATCTGAAAGAAACAAGCTTTCAAGCTCCACAGAATTCTTCTTCAGCTCAGAAACTTGTTTCTTTCACCAACAGAAGTTAGTTCAATAAAATATATTACCTCAAGAGCTTGTCTTGCTTGTGTCCTGGAAACCAGCATGGACACAACAACACTGCAAACTGCTTTTTACTCCACAAATGAACTTCTGGGACTCCTGAAATCATGGATTTTGTCATAATTGAAATGCATTTTAAATATTTAAGATTAGAACTCTATATATTATTCCCATGCTTAACCACCCTGACAATCAAGAAGTTTAAGAATGTCCAACCTAAACCTTCCATGCTGCAATTTAATTTATATTGTCACTTTGTCTCCAACCCCGTGAACACGTGTTCAAAAACTGATTTAGCAGAGTTGGTGTACCCCTCCAGTGTAGACCCAGTGATACTACTATAAAGTTGATTATATTACAATAGTTTCAGTGAATTTACTGAACACAAATATGTCTACACTAATTACTCACGCACAGACTACAAAGCAAATCATTAACTTTAATTCATAAATGATTTACAAAACATATCTCATTTTCTGAATAAGATGCAGAGTACACAGGTAATATAACCCTTTAAGTTAATTAGAGGTCTTCTTAAAACAAACATAAATTAATAGTTCTTTCTTACCAGGAAGTCTTGCTGCGTAAGTAAGCAGAAAAATTACACAGGAAAAGATAAGAAGCACAACTTCCTGTAATCCTGCCTATTTGTATAACGACATTTAGCACTCAAACCTTCCAAAAGTTGTTTGTGCCATCTACTGATTTCTTATGAAATTACACGTGAATTTTCCACAAATTTACATTTTTTCCAGACATTATTCATATGACTTTTTGATAATTTAATTATATTATTGAACTGCGTGCTTTCATGCTTTGCAGTTGCCTAAACAGCATATATTCCTTTATCCTCATTTCAACTGATCCATCAATTGCTTTCCCTTTCTAAAATTTGTTTTAAAATAAATAATACCTGTATATATCTTCTGTTAAACAAATTTACATTGACACTCAAATATCTTTTCCTGGAACTAAATAGATCTCTCCTATTTTAAAGGCCTCACAGTGCTAGCTACATTGAAGTCATGATAAAAATAGGTGTATTATTATATTGTTATCCCCCTGTCAAATGGTGGTAGATGCTGATGCCCTGCAAGTCAACTTCTTATTGGAGGAATAATCAGTGCTATGGGATCTGTATAGATTCTAAGTATAACTAGTTCATTTACATGATACACAATAGTCCATGAATGAGATGGTCACAAGGCGCATAGAAAAAATTATTTTTCTGAAAGACAAGGACAAGCTCACATGCCCAGTTCCAAGGAAGCATCCTCTTCACAAGAAATTGACTCTGTTGGAGAGATTAAGGCAAAGAAAAAAAACTCTCAAACTGTTTTCCACAGCTTTCCTCCCTCCCCTCAACCTACTTGATAAAACTAATTGTAACTCTGGCAACTAGGTCTTTTGGATTGAACCTGGAATCTCTAGAGCTAAAAGCACGAGCCGTTACTGTGTGAACTAAAAAACCACATGCTTTTTAATGAAAACTGTTGCAGACTCATTAATCTGCAGGTGGTCTCGATGCCATTCAAAGGGGGCACAGCACCATTTCTAGCAGGTATGGGTTACATACTAACACAATGATAGAAATGTAGCTGTGTTAGTCAGGTGTAGCTGAAACAAAAAATAGGACTATGTTGCACTTTAAAGATGGTTTATTAGGTGATGAGCTTTCGTGGGCCAGACCCACTTCCTCAGATCAAATAGTGGAAGAAAATTGTCACAACCATATATACCAAAGGATAATATTTTAAAAAATGAACACATATGAAAAGGACAAATCAAATTTCAGAACAGAAGGGGGATGGGAGGAGGGGAGGTAAATGTCTGTGAGCTAATGATATTAGAGGTGATAATTGGGGAAGCTATCTTTGTAATGGGTAAGATAATTAGAGTCTTTATTCAAACTTAGGCATAAAGTGTCGAATTTAAGCATGAATGACAGTTCAGAGGATTCTCTTTCAAGTGTAGTCTTAAAAGGCCTTTGAAGCAGGATGCAGGTAATCAAGTCGTTGAGACAATGTCCTTTCTGGTTGAAATGGCAAGAAACTGTTTTTTCTTTGTGATGCTGTCTAATATCTGTTTTGTGGGCATTGATCCTGTGGCGAAGTGTCTGAGACATTTGTCCAATGTACATAGCAGATGGACACTTTCGGCACATGATAGCATAAATTATATTTCTGGGTGCACAGGAATATGTGTTCTTGATCTTATAACTCACTTGGTTAGGTCCAATAATGGTATCAGCAGAGTGAATATGTGGACAAAGCTGGCACCGGGGTTTGTTGCAAGGGAAGGTACCAGGGTTGGTATTAGTGTGGTATGTCCTATGGTTGTTGGTAAGAATCATCTTGAGGTTAGGTGGTTGTCTATAGGAGACTATGGGTCTGTCTCCCAGAGTCTCTTGGGCTGTGTCTACATTGGCATCCCTTTCCGGAAAAGGGATGCTAATGAGACACATCGCAATTGCAAATTCTGTGGGGGATATAAATATCCCCTGCGGCATTTGCATTTACATGGCTGCCGCTTTTTGAAAGTAGGAATAAGGGATCTTCCAGAAAAGGGCTTATTTTCCGGAAAATCGCGTCTAGACTGGCACTTTTCTCCGGCATAACCCCGAGCCGGAAAAAAGCGGCAGCCATGTAAATGCAAATGCCGCGGGGGATTTAAATTGTGATGTGTCTCATTAGCATCCCTTTTCCAGAAAGGGATGCCAATGTAGACACAGCCTTGGAGTTTAGTATCCTGTTCCAGTATAGGCTGTAGTTTATTGATAATGTGTTGGACAGGTTTAAGCTGGGGGCTGTAGGTGATGACAAGTGGTGTTCTATTGTTGGTTTTCTTAGGTCTGTTTTGAAGTAGATGGTTTCTAGGTATTCATCTGGCTCTTTCAATTTGCTTTTTTATTTCTCCGGGTGGGTAGTTGAGGTTTATAAATGCTTGGTAGAGATCCTGAAGTTTCTGGTCTCTGTCAGTGGGATTAGAGCAGATGCGGTTGTATCACAGGGCTTAGCTATAGATGATGGATCGTATGGTGTGTTCTGGATGGGAGCTGGAAGCATGTAGGTAACTGTATGAGTCAGTACACATCAGCAATGGAAAATTAGACACCACTCTCTATAGAAAACCCACTGACACATACAGTTACCTACATGCTTCCAGCTCCCATTCAAATGTGTTCATTTTTTTTAATTGTATCCTTTGGTATATATGGTTGTGACAATTTTCTTCCACTATTTGATCTGAGGAAGTGGGTCTGGCCCATGAAAGCTCATCACCTAATAAACCATCTTGTTATTTAAAGTGCTACATAGTCCTGTTTTTTGTTTCATACTAACTTACACACTTGCATGATAAACCAACCACAAAAACCTGTATGCTATGACTTGTAAAATGGTGCCACTTGGTGATCTGTAGTAACAATATTTTACTTTAAAAAATTCCCCACATCAAAAACAGTCCCTAAAAACTTTACTTACCTTGAGATTTAATTCAGAGACTAGTTTTAACATTTTAATTCAAATAGAATAGCACTACTTAGCAAGTTATCCCATGAAATGAATGGTCGTTTTCTAAATTCTTTTAGTTTATGGTGCCATGACACAATCAAATGAAATAAATAATAAATAAATAAATAATAATAATAATATACTGGTATAACTCAGTATACTAAGTATACTAAGTATATCTTAGTCTTAAACTTCATTGATCATGCTATGTTTTAATGCTGAGATTTAAATCAAGTTTGACATCAGGAAAAGGATGCAAAAGATAACACAAGTGAAAACACAGCATAATGTAGATAAGCATAATGATAACTGTTGTGCCAATGTGCTTCGAAAAGGTGAGCAGTCAAAATATGCAAAAAATTAATTAATCAAAAAGGTTCATTTCTTGCTTCCAAAAACAAAAAATTCACAGTGTAACATATCATTTGCACAGCTCTAAATGACTTAGGAAACAGGTGTATCCAAATCACATCATCACTTAGCCTCAGTTATGGTGGGGGAAGCACGTGAAGTCTCCTCCCACTCTGCCCCCATCCTGCAAGCAGGCTCTGAAGGGTATGGGCACGAGGGGAGCACGCAAAGTCTCCTCACCCTGCAAGGGGCGCGGTACTTCTAAGCACCACTCACTCCTTCCAGGAAGGGGGCAGGGTGGGAGGCGACTTCACGTGCTCCTCCTCACCCCCAAGCCCTGATTTGCTGGAGATGAGGGGGAGCACGTGAAGTCTCCTCCCACTGCCAAGGAACCACCAGCTGTTTAGAACACGCAAAACAGCTGGTGGTTCTCTCTAGCGGGGAGGGGGCAAAGACTTCACGCGCTCACCCACCCCCAGACCAATTAGGGTCTATGGGCAGGGAAGCATAGAAGTGTCCTGGCCCTGCTCCTTCTGCCTGAGACCCTGCTCCTTCTGGGGTTGCCTGGGGACTCTTCAATAATTTCTGAAGTGGCCTCCAGTCAAAAATTATTGCCCAACCCTTACTTAGACCACTTACAGCAAGAGATAAGAACACGTGAGAGCTACAGCCCAAGCTAAGAGCCAGTTGGCTTTATAGCTCAAGCTGTACAGACTCCTATATTAAGCACCAGAGGTCCCAGATTTGAATATGCCCTTACACTACTGTATGATGATGTCAACACTGCCTCAATAAAAATGAGACTTAATCACTTGTCACAAGGATCTGAGAGAAGTTGTTTCCCAGCTCCTACTTGTCAACTCCATTCTGATCCCTGCTCTGCTTCACTTTTCTACAAAAAAATAATAATTAAATGGGGCTTAGAGGTGGTACCACAATACAAATACATAGATAATATTAACTGAAAAAAATTGGCAAGCCTACATTTATCCCTGTTGGAGATAGGCATTGATACACATATTTTTGGTGGCATATTGCGGCCTACACACATAGTCTTGTCATATAATACCTCGTGCCAGCATAAACATTAATCTTAATTGAAGCTAAGAAAAACAGCTTGTTAACAAGACTATTTATTTATTTTAAAGAACTGTGTTAGACTGAGTTCCTCTCAGCTGAGGCTTTTGCTCTCTCCTCTGAATTACAACAAGCCTGTACTAGTTATTGGTCCTCAAATTTAGAATTAGAACACAATTTTATCAAACCTAAGGCCAAAAGAAATATATCAATAGAAGCAGCATGCACATATGTGAGGGAAGATCTTTGGGCCTTAAATTTTACATTGGTATGTAACAAAACCCTGACATAAATTATCATTCTGGCTATGCCTGCATTTCTGCTCACAATTCTCACCACTCTGCCTTGGATCATTTGCTTTGCTATTGAATCCTAATTCACTTCCCCTCTCACTTTTCTCACCATGCTCAATTCTGTCTTCTTGCCTGCTGCTACAGTGCCATTATGTGCAGAATTTCCTCCCTCTTCCAATATGAAAGCCTCCATTTCCAAAACCTTCCTGAGAACACCACAAATACAAGTCCACATTTACTAAATAGAGCTAGTGAAATATTTTGCATACGTTTTAAAAAGGAAAATTAGGTTTTTAAATAAATGAACATTTTCATCCAATGTGTGCGCTTTCCTCAAAAAAAATTTAATCAGAAAACCAAACCCACCCAATTCTTCATTTGTTGGCCACAACATTTTCATTAGTTGGCCACAGAAATCAGCTTTTTTTCTCAAAGAAAAAAAATCCATTTTTCAGACGAACTCTAACATTAAACCATCTTGGTAAACATGTTGTTCTCACCCTATTATGATTTTTTAAAATGCAGAGAGGACAGACCTTTCCTTTGCTGCTCCCAGAGCTTGTTGTTCTCTTGCCATTTATTTTAGACTAAGTTCCTCGAGGCAGAAGACAGGTTTTATATGCATAGCAATGGGCACCCGTCTGTGACTTAAACATCAACATAGGAGGAGCTACTGTTGTTATGTACGAACCTATTGAAACGACTGTGATCTAATGTGTTCCCTTTCATGATTTACCATCTCTCTGTCTGGGGGGGGGGGGGGAAATGTTTATTTAGACAGCTTTAGGCACTACAAATAGAACCACCGAGACTCATTCCTTTCAAGAAGAGAGGACTGTCCCGTTTGGGTGCAGTCGCTTCAGAGCGCTAAGCCCCTCTCCCTCTGCAGAGGAAGGTAATTGCTGTGAACGTTTTTCTAGAAAAGGAGCCACAATCTGAACTCAGAGGGCTGGGCTATTCAGAGCTGCCTCCAGGATCTGGATGCTCAGTTCCCAAGACGAGCTGCTGGGAAAATCTCAGCATTCGTGGCTTACTACTCGCCACGCGGGCCATTTGCGCGGAGGCACAGCCGAAAGAAAGAAGGGGAAACAGCTCTGAGGCAATTGCACAACAAGCATCGGGGCCGCAGAGGTTGTGGCTGTGGCTCGTAAGGGCTGTTCGAATGCCAATGACTGATTTCAGCTGGGAGAAGCTGCAAGCCCGGGCAAGGGAAAACCCTACAGCACCCCGCGGGTGGGAGTGACTGCAGCCCCGCCCGCTTTGCAGCCGCTGCAAGCCACGCAGTCCAGCGCGCCAGCTTGAGGGAGGCTCGAGCAGCCCTTCACGTTTCAGCGTGAGTGGGAGTGAGAGCCAGAGCCAGAGCCCTCCCTCCCCCGGCCGCTGCCCGGCTTCCTCCTCCTCCCAGAGCCTGCCGGCGTCGCGGGGG